ATTAAAATTTAAAATTAAATTATCATATTTGTTTAATTTTGACGGTATATTTTTGTTGTAATTAAAAAAAATTACCACTAACTTTTAAATTGAAGTTATGAATTAAGCTTCTTAATTCATAAATATCTTGAAATTATTATGTAGGAGCATAAATTTTATGCTTAATAATATTTGTAATATTAATTATTACTGGTAAATAAATCCTCTCGCATTACATAGTTTTCAAAACAAGCATGTTATGAATTGTTTGTAAGTATTCTTTTTAGTATTCCAGTCAGTACCATTTTTAAATTTAGATTAAAGTAGATTTCAGTAAAATTTTGTTGTGATTAGTCTCATATTGTTGAATTTCTTTTTATATTTGTGCTGAATCATTAAAGCTAACTTGTAAGTGAAAAACAATGTTAGGAAAATGTAGATAATTATCTAAATTTTTATTCTATACAAGATTATAATATCTTTTACCTTTATATTAGCTAAACCACTTAAAAATGGTTATCTAAAAGTCATCTAAAATAGATAACAAATATCTAGATATTTACATAATAATATAAGTTAAAAAGACGACTTTCTTTATTTTGTACTTATCCCTCTGTTGAGAAAATTTGTAGTTTGATTTATTAAAAATACTGAACAATAACATAGAAATTACGTAAATAATAGTTTAAACTATACTATTTAAGTTTAAAGAGTCAAGTACAGTCGGAATCCAGTGTAATGTGCCAATTAAGGAACTTTTTTAAATTAATTTTATTAATATATAACTGTCTAGGAATGCTTTCATGCGTATTGAAAAACTTATTATATTTACCAAAAATTATATAATCTTTTATATAAATCAGCTTATAACAAATAGTTTATAGCGGACTGTAAAATGACATTACTTTACTTTGTATGTAACTTTATTATAATTTTTTATTATTAATAATTTAACAATTAGATCCCATTACAAAGTTACCTCGTTTTATAGTATAAATAGAACTAGTGCACATAAATGTTTTTCACGATAAATGAATTGTATTGTAAGATTTGACTCTGAGAGAATGTTTAAAATGTTATGTACGATTTCGTTAGTAGACCTGGTGGATATTTAAGTGTACGTTGCGCATTAACTCTAAACGCATTAGTCATAGTAGTTAAAATATGCTAATAAAGAAAAAACTGTATGATTAAAAATTTATTTATTGTGTTAATTTATAATAAAACAATGTTTGAGTTATTATGAATATTTTCAAATATATCTTTTATATAATTCGTTTTAGACTTTATAATCGGAGCGACAGTTACTGGCCCAAAGTTGGAGCTATACTGACGGCTTGACTTGTTTTCTATTTGTTCCTATCATTTTTGTTGTTATTGTTTTTAATCTTATTATCTCTTTTGTTGTTGTTTTCATAATTTTTATTTTTGTTATTCATGATAAAAACTAATTATTAAATTAAATATACTATATTATCCAAGCTTTTAATCATCTGATTATTGTCCTAGCTTTTATTTCGCTTCATTTTTATTCCATTTTTTTACCATTTTAGCTATTCCGTTACATTATCGCTATACAAGCGTTTTTTTACTATTTAATTATTTATTTAGGAAGAGCGTGGTGTGACGCAACGGACCAACGGTCGCCTTGGTGTTTAGCCGTGTTATTTACTGTTGGTTCTTTGATGGGTGACCATACGGTAACTTTATTAATAACACATACCTCGCCCTTTACTAATTCCTTAAACCACAATTATTAGGTTACGTCAGATCGAGACCTAATGAAAATTCGGCCAAATCATTAAGGCAGAGTCGACCTCAAATATTTCAGTTAAAGGATAGTTGGAATGGAAATATATTATTCTTGTCTAAATAATAGATTTTACCGTGTGCTGTTAACATAATCCATAGTAATAAAAGGCAAAGGTTCTGAATGTTCAAAACTTCATGTAGTCCTGTAGCGTATGAAAATATTGTGAAACATAAATTTTGAATAGTGAAGAAACTCAACTCGATAAATAAAAGGATATTGAAATTATGTATTCTAATGAATTTGAAAGAATTATTCACTGGAGATTTCTGTTGAGAACTACATTTAATGATTATAGTGTACGAATTCGAAAACTAAATACAAGGCAATAACGAAGAGAAAGAGTAATTATGTAAATTTAAATAACCTATAATTATATCGTGTACATTAATTACTACTTAGATTCTATGAAACAATAACCAGGAATTCGTGTGTCTGCATAATAAACGCACATGATCGTTTCAAAATGCATATCACATTTCCTAAAATTGAGATAGAAATTCCTATTGTAGTTAATATGCGTTTAATTTTAGACAATGATAATAATATTGATTTTTGTGCTTAATTTTATGGTTCATGTACTTAATTTTTCTATTTTATTGGTTATATAAAGAAATTATTTCCTAGTATATGGAATATCCAAGTAATATGTAATTTCAGGTAACATTAATTTTATGAATAAAACTTAGTAGGGTTATTAAAAATGAAATAACAATATTTATTGTCAATATGATACATAAATTAGTTAATATTGTCAACAATAATATAATATATATTAATGTCGCAAATTCAGTATAGGGTAAGACGGAATAAGATTATGGAATTCCGTAATTCTCAAAATCAATCACATATAGCAGTACATCCTAACTACCATAACAGCCTCATATGAGTGATATTTAGCTTGTTTTGATGTAATTTTTGGACATCAAAAATTTAGTTATTCATATACTAAGGACAATTTTTCAAAGTTCTCATTTAAATACTCAATAATTATGCTAATTAATAACTAACAAAACTAAAGTACTAACTAATAAATTAATTCATAATAAACCCATTTCTTTTACAATAGTTTTGGTAACAAAGTTTTACAGACGTTTTCGTCATTCTATTCCGTTCCATTCGCCATCCCCGTAATTGGGGAAATTTAATTATAAAAGTTAAACAATTTTTCCGACTTCTATTTGCAATATGAAAAACCGAATAAACAAATTTAAATACTATGGTAAATATCACAAAGAATATTTAAAAATTTGGTCAATTACTTTTGAGATTGGAAATCTTAAGATTTGTTTATCATCTTTTGATATTTTACATAAGCTCATAATTAAACTTTCTCCTATAAAAGTCTGTCTATTTCGAAAATGGTAATAAACTAGTTAATTTATGTAAATTGTCTAAAAATGATTTATGGTAAGTATTCAAATCACAGTTATAAATTATAACATAATTACTATAAACAACACAGGACCCATTTGAATATCAATAGGTAGTACATTTTGTACGAAGGGACAAATGAAATGTCGACAAATTAATAATATTATCTATTTTAATGGTGAAATTATCTTGACAATGATTTTATAACTAATATAGGGCTATTAATAAACGTAATTTATTAATTTTACCTAGAGTTCATTGACGATATTGACTATTAATGTGAATAGAAAATATTAAGCGTTGTATTGCAAATACTTTATCATTTAAATATTGGATAATATCTTCACGCACATATTATATTCTTTGTATATAAAACAAAGACTGAAGAAAGAAAGCTTTCCCGGGGGTATCGTTGAAACGGTTACAATACTTGAAAGACACTACGTGTTTGTTATTAAAATGTTTACATTTAACGTTTCTCTACTAGTGCTTGGTTATCTAAACGCAGTTTGCCCATTGTTTTACGTTTCATGAAAGCCCGAGGGAGAAACTAGGTCACTATAGATAAGGGCGATTGCGCGTCTACGCTAATTCGGAAGCTGCGAGTTATCGTTGTAATTCCAAAATCCGGTGGATAAGTCACAATATTGTGTATGAGGTCAGCCTCGGGCAATTATTACTATTTCTCAATATAACATAATACACTAGTACAGTTGGACGTTGGCTAGGAAAATTGTCAAAATGCAGGCTGACACAATACTAAATTATTGCGTCCGTCTTTTCTTCCTATTATATTTCTCTACTAAAGCTACGCGGTTTAAACTGCAAATGAAAATTATAAAAATATCGTTTCCATTTGAAAATCTGACAACTACAGATGACATGGGATGGAATAATAGAGAGGGGAAAATAAAAACGTGATTGATATTGCTTTGCCATATCATCGATTCAGTGGTTAGATGAGGTTATAGCTTCGGAAAACTGCGGACGAGATAGTGACGCAACACATTGGTTGATAGATTGTTTCGCTGTCCTGTAACCCCTCCCCCATTCATCTAACTGAAACACACAATATTCCACCCGTCAAGTTTATAGACAACGTCAGTGGAATATCATCTAGAGGATATATGAATCAAGAATAAAATACTTAATATTCATACCGTTTAAAACGATATAACTGCTATTGGACCATTTTAACATAGAGGTGAAAGTTTTTATACTAAACACAAAATAAACCGAATAAAACTAGAGTTTTTGGACGAAATTTGACTTTTACAAAGTTCAGATCAAAATACTTTTTGATAATTTTGTAGTGTATGAACATTTGTTTGAAACTATAATAAAAGCCATAGAACCCTCGAGGCTTAAACTGATAACACTTCATAAATAGAAGCTTCAACTATTCTATTTACTTTGACAAATAACATAAACTTACAATTTTTGAAAAAAATTATTTACAATTGTAAAATAATGAGATTGTGCACGCTGATAAAATGTGTACGTTGATTATGGACACTATAATATATAATATACACATAATGACTCCACTAATGTGTAAGAAAAGTTTACTTATCATTTTTTTTTTTTTTTTTTAATTAAAAATCTATATTATAATAATACATTCACGTGTACTTATTGAGTAAAATATAAAACTTAATTATGAAAAGTATCAATAAATTTTATGCAACAAATATTTCTAGATTTTATTTAGTATTATAAGTATTATTGATAATAAACTTAACTTTAGTGCAAATATTACTTATTCAATAATATTTTATACCCCCTACGTGTTTAGATATTTGAAAAATGAATTCACTTATTTTAACATTTTTTTTAGAAATGATTTCGGGATCAATTGATTATAAAGTTCCCGAAGAAACAATTTCACCTTTGATTGAAGCTACTTCAATACGTGGTCCTTATTTTGACAAAAATGCATCCAAGAACGTAACTGCACTTGTTGGTCAAACGGCTTATTTGAATTGTAGAGTTAGAAACCTTGGAAATCGAACGGTAAGTGTCTATAAAATAAATATTTTAATTATAAAAAAAAATTATTACTATATATTGAACTCCTTAAAATTTTACAAAAGCAAAATTATTCATGTAATGTTTTTTTAAATAAAAACTAAATAAATGTTTGCTTTAAAAAATTCTCATTGACACACTTTAAAAATAGACACTATTAAAGAAATTTTAAAAAGTTTTCATAATATACAAACTCGACGCGCTCTTAAATGTAAATAAACTTACACATTTATTCATCAATTTATAAAGTTAATAAGATTATTTAAAGAATAATATTTGTTTACATACAGAATTATTACTTAGGGCTTATGCAATAGACAATTCATTACAAAATCTCAACTCCTCTGTTTAAATGTTTTGTTGACTCTTTATGCTTTAGTCTATAAGATTAAAAATATTCATAAAATTTTAATCATGACAAAAGGGATTTCAGCTGAAACATAAGAACATAGAACATAAGAATTTATTTGGAATTTTGATGGGTATAATGATTAAATTTAAAATAATAGAGCCATTGAATAATCACTAGACATCGACTCAGATTTGAATGAGCAAGAAGAAGTTGGCAAATACGCAGCTGTAATAATCTAAAATTCTACTGAGTTGTACAAAAGGTGTATGAGAAATAAAGGAGCTCATTGTTATGTTAGTTATTGGATAACATGAATAGGGTAAATGGACATCCTACCCAGGTGAACACGATCCGACTACATCCGACAAAGTAATTAATCATAACCCCGAATTTCCGAATAACGAGACCTTGGTCAATTTGTTAGCTGGCAAATTCAAAACAGTAATGTCGGTTTCCCCGTCCATTTAACACCCCCTTATTTATTATTAACGGTTCTATACTGAGATGGTCAAGTGGAATGACAAAAGCAGTAACTCTTTTTTATTTGAAAGTATCTTTATTATTTCATAATAGAGTACGAGTGGTTTAAATTTTGTCTGTGTTTCCATGAAAAAAAAAGTCACAATGATAATACTTAAACTTATCCGTAATAAGAATAATATTTAACTAAAAATTATTCATAAAAAAAAAACAAAGATATTCGTAAATAATAAATGTAAGCACACATCATTAGACACGTTTTTTGAGTTTGATATAAATTTGTACAAAATTATTATACTAGTCATTTATATGAACGTCATAAATTTACTATTGGTATATTAAAAAAAGTATTAACTATTTTATGGTATTAACTATTACAATAATTTTACTTTTATTTTTAATATTTTAAAAAAAATTCTCAATTTTTCATAATAGTTCATACATTAACATTGTGACACGATTCTTATTGTATGACTAATCATGTGTTACTCTAATATATTATATATTCAATAATATTATTTTATCTTATTTTCAAATAAACAATAATAATGTATAAATCTTATCCAAATGATGATATGTTACAAAAATGGGTTTTTGACAATTGTTTAACTTATGTAAAGAAAGACGTTATTCTTTATGTTTCAATAAATTATCAGCTGATTTTATCAGTAAGGTTTGCATTTGCACTTAAAAAGTAATAGTAATCAATTATAATAAGATACTGTTGAAATCTTAATTTGTTTATGCTCTCATGGTGAATTTCTAAAAGTAACATGTAATTTTTAGAAAATAACGACAAAAATATTATTTTTACTCAAATATTTTACAATATAAGAAAATCTTCTATTATAATTCTTCTTAGTCAGCAAAATTACTGATCTCTTTTATTATTCAACATTTAATAAAATATTATGTTTTTATTCAATGAAAATTAAAAATTATTGAAAAAGCCCAGACAGTGTGGCACAGAACAGTGGGGTCAAATATAGATGAAATCGGAGAGTAATTAACATTACTATCATAAAAAACGCTTAAATGTCAATCTTATAAATTCTACAAAATTTAATATATTTATAATTTTGCCAATAATCGTAGAATGTGTAAGTGTATTTTTGAAAGAGTTAATCATGACATAATTTTTTTTTAATATTATATTTATTTTAAAATCTTTAATTTGATAAAAGTTAAAATAAGACTGGTATTCTTGGACTAAAAATTGAGTTTAAAAATACAAATTTACATGTGTAGTTCTTAGTTAATTCTTTAAAACCGTTAGAGTTTAAAGTAATTAGGTTTATCAATGGATTTTTGAACAAATCATATTAAAAGAAAACTATTACCTCTAGTATATTTTATTTAAATTTCATTAAGATCTGTATTTAAACAAAAATAGTTAAACATTATTTATTAGTTATAGCAGGTTTTAAACGCAAAAAAAAGTTTTAAAATGCCATTTTTACAGTATTATAATTTTGAAATATTTTTTTAAATTTCTAAAATTGAAGGAGATTTATAAGTTAAGTTTATTTAGATTAAAATCAGATTCTTTTGACATATTAATAATTAAAATTAACCTAGTGACTACTGATAATTTTTTGGACAGTCATAAAAAATTCATATTATGGTAAAAACAATACCTTCTCAGTTTTGTTTCATAGTTAAAAAAGCAGTTAAGCTGGAATCTAAAATAAGGACTACTCACCATCACCATTACTTTAAATTGTTAATAACTTCTGAATTACTGGTCCAAAAATTATTATCGATGAGTCATTTTGTATCCCAATCCAGCAAAACAAAAAATTATCAATATTATATTTTATTTTTTGTTTATTTAAATGGTTCGTAATAAAATAAATACTCTGTACATATGTTTATACAAAATACTAAAAAGTCATACTTATGCTCATTATTTCCTTATGTTATTAAAATAATATAAAAAAGAGCTTCTTTCTCCAAAAATTTGCACGTTTTTACTAAATATACAATTTTTATAGAAACAGAGTCTAGGGCATTAAAAAAACTTTGATTTAATATAATTTTGAAAAATATTTGCCTTATTTTAAACATAGACAAAATTGATAGAAATACAATTTTTACATGAACATTGTAAACTTTATAACTTTGCTGATTACTTCTAAAAAAAAAATTGCTAGAACACATTTTTTTAAAGCATAAAGTACATTTAAAATCTATTATGTTAATGTATCTTTAAAGGGTAAAACTTTGCTAAAGTATTATCAATAATTTAAACAAAAAAAAAAGATTTGCTGAATTGTTTTTTTCAAAATCTAATTGAGTAATTTTGACTTAGTAAAAGCTGAGTGTACGGGACCAAAGAAATAAAAAAAAAATTAATAGTAAATAAATAAAAAATAGTAAAAATAATATCTCTTCAGCTATAAATCAAAGCTAGAATATTTGATGATTCTAAGATCTAAATATTATACTTAATATTTAACTAAATCATATTATTAGTTCAATTAGTACTCAATTTTGTTATAGTATTTCTGTAACTTTTATTATTACATGTATACCAATTCTTAAATTAGTTTGTAAGTTATTCTGAATTAAAGTCATTCTAAAATGCAAATTGAAATGATATAAAAGTTTTATATCACAAACATTAATTTAAGTAATACAATGTTATAATATATACATTGTTTCTTTTAGCATAATCAACTGTTCTATGGGAGAACCTATTTATCATAAAACAGTTCATTGATTATAATCAATTAAGTTATTCAATACTTGATAATTAGGAATTATAGTATTAATACTTTAAGGAAGATGATTTCCGTTTGTGTATAACAAACAATTTAGTAAGCTCTAAATGAAATAAATTAATAGTTAATAATAATTACACAATAAGTGCAAACCCTCAGGTTTTATTCTTGTTATAAAAAATTTTGATTCAGGTATTTATTTTGTTTTTATTATTAGACAAATAATAAAAAACAAATATTTAAAGGTTTTGACTAGTGCATTCATTTTAGGTAAATACACATTCCTATTTTTCCATATACTTGTTTTTTGAGCTTTAAATCACTAAGTCAACACGCATTATATATAATGTAAAAAAATATATTGAAAAACGATGTAAAGTTTGTAAGCTTTACATAGTACTTTAGGCACGAAAATTTTTAGTGAGTACATGTCTTAGTAGAGTTTTAACGCAAAGTACGTCGTCAAGGGAGCACCGTCTTTGAGCAAAATTGATGCCAGGGCTTAATGAACCATACTTGTTTTCCTACGCTTCCAACGTTAATGTGCACTTAATTTTCTTTTATGTCATGCGGGGGAACCGTTTATATTGTTTAGCAGCCAAAAGATTCTCCTAATATCGTGGATCTTACTAATATATTACATACATTTTGTAAAAGCAATAGTACTCGGAAAAATAATTGTCATTGTTGAAACTTATAAGTTTGACGAGCCAGTTTTCTTCCATCTATCGAATGAAAACGCTTATTCAATAAGATTTATTATGAAGATTAACTAAACGCTTTCCTTTTTCATTTCATACTTGGTATTGTATTACATGCTGAAAAGAAACATAAGATACAATAAATATAAATTATTGAATGCTGTTAATTTATTCAATTTCATTGAAATATCTCAGTATTTTTATCGATTTAAAAAACTATAACTTGAATTTTTTCATCAATGCATACACATATTTTATTTAGACGTTTCAATTTTAAATTTGCATACATTTATTTTAATCTTATGATTTAATGAAATGTACCTATAATTTTAGTTACTGTAGTTCTACAGTAACTGAAAATATTTTAAAAATGTCAATGTCATGTAAAAATTTTAATCAAATAGTTTAACTTATACGTTTTTCTCGTTAAAAATTAGATCAAGTTAAAAAACTGACCAAAAAAAAATAATCAAAAATCATTTTATTTATAACAAAGATATTGTAAGTATTAGAATCTTTATAGTATAAAACATCAAGTGTTATGGATTTCTTATGTATTTTGTTATCATTTTACTTAAAATATTTAATTCAAGAACATTTTTTGCTATACTTTACAACTTTTCTAGCCAGAGCTTATCTGACAACAGTTATTTAGTATTTGGATTATACTAATAAATTATAACACATACTGCATAGGTATCATAAGTAAAGTTTGAAATCGTTATTGGC